TGAAAATATTGTCGGGCATAAACCGGTCCGTGGCGCAAAAAAGGTTGGAGACCGCTGATTTAATGAGTTATTATTAATCTCTGGCTCTCTTCCACAACGTGCTTTTTGTCCTGTCTTCCTCCCCTCCCTCCACACTGATCACGGCAGATGGCTGACTCTCCACGAGCCTCGTTCTAGCTGACGTTTTTTCCTGTTAAAGGGGAGTTTTTCCTTCCCACTTTTGTCAAAGCACTCATTGGGGGTCACCTCTCTGTGGAGACTGGTAATGAACATGTCAAAAACAAAACCCAAACACATTAAAACCGGCTGAAATGTCACCACATTTAGCTAATGCCCTCCATTATTATTATTAAAATTATTAAAACTAATAACTAAAAGAAAAACTAAAACTTCATGTTAGTCCATCTAGTAATTGTTGAGCTATTTAACTTTGGATCAAAGTGACGGACTGGCCAACTAAGTGAGCGACTGAGGATAAGCTCCTAAGAAACTGTAGTTTTTTTGAGTTTGTATTCAGATTATAAAATCAGATCATAAAATCTGAACACTGAGCACTGACCACACCATGTCGTCCCTGCTTTATCTCTTTTGCCCTCTCTCGTGCTGCATCCTTTTGAGTTTCCTCTTTGTGGCTCTTCCTCCGTCTTTGCCCTATGTCCTCTATTGACCCCAGGGCTCCCATCCATCCTGACCCCTCCTCCACTCAGACACCAAGTCTGATGGCCAAAGGGTCAGTGAGGGCAGCTGCTGTCAGGTGGTGTTTGAAAAACAGGCTGCCTCTTTTTTTCCAGTGCAAGAAAAGAGGGACATCGTCTGCCTGTGTCCAAAGAAACTTGTTGGAATGCAAGTTTTTGACCTTTACTACTCATGTGTGGTGGTATTCCAGTTTCACTTCAGTCTGAAGAAACTTGACTTTCCTACACTGACATTTAGTAGTATAGGAAGTTAACCAAAGATAAGTGCTTATTTTTGGTTTCAGCTACTACCAACTGAGATCTTTTCCTTGACTCCTTCAAAGTTGCGTTTATCTAACTACACTCGATGACTGTAGAAGGGAGAACAGGAGGAGATGGAAAAGGCAAGGAGAAAAAACAACAAAAACGGGTGGGTGGGTTGGGGGGTAGAAGCCTGTCTGGCCACCATGTTGACCTCATTGACCACAGCAGGACCAGGCATGTACACACACACACACACACACACACACACACAGACATGCACATACACACACTGAGAGACCTAATCAATATGTAACTAAGGAAGGAGAGAGCACGGTGGAGAGAGTAGGGAGAAGTTGTAGGGGTGGAAGAAAGGAAGAATGGAAAGGAAACTTCAAGTAAAGATGGCTGTGACTGGTTGGTGCTGATGGAGTCAAACTACACAATTTAAACTAATATTATTGCTATTA